CCCAGCCCCCCCCGCGCTCCCCCACCGTGTGGACCCCTGCGGGGGCGAGGGCGGGGCTGACAGGGCTCCCAGGGAGGAAGGCCTTGCTGGGAGGAAGGCCTTGCCGGGAGCAAGCCCAGTGTGCAGGCTGCGTCCGTCAGCCGGGTTCGCTGCCTGTTTTCCTGTGGTCATTTCTGAGTCCTTGGAAAGTCTGCTTACATGTGCCAGACCTGATCCACATATGCTAGAGGGTGTCACGGGAGCGTCCTGGGTCCCTGGGTCATGGGCTGGCCTGGTAACTGGCAGGTCTATAAGAAGGTAACAATAAATGGTCTCTCTCAGAGGAAAGTGTTGGGGCTCAGAGCCCAGCCACCGGGAGATCCTTCCCGTGTCATGGGTCCCCAGGACCACCTCAGAGGAACATACAGATTTTTTTAAAAAACCAAAGGTAAGAGGCGCCCAGGGTGGAATCCACGTCAGACCAGGCAGGAGCTGCCAGCTACCCTCTACCCACAGAGCCACACAGACAGCACTCCGTTCTTCCAGCAACGATGGGACGTGTGCCAAGCGTCACCAGCTGGGGCACTCCCCCGAGCCGTGGTGTGCAGGGTTTTTGCTGACAGCCAGTTGTGTGGGTGCTTACTGCTTAGCTGCTCGGAGGTCAACTGCTGGAGCGTGACCGGGGCCTTGGGTAAACAGGATGCTGTCAAGCGGGATGTGCCAAGGGCTCCAGGAGCCTCTCCCAGGACACGGTCAAAGGCCAGGCCTCCCTGTGCAGCGTGTGGGGTGCTGAGCCTGACAAGCCTTTCCTGCACGCTCCCATGTGCCAGGCCCCAAGGCTCCCCTTTCCCTTCGTGAGGAAGGTGGCTGGTGACGGGTTACAAGCCCATCCTGCTCTGGTCTGCGGGAGGCAGAAGAGACTGGTTGGTGTGGTGGACACCCGGCCCGTGCAGCAGCCCCCAGGTCGGCCAGCAGAGTCCTGCAGACACATAGGCTGACGAGGGACCCGTCTGCACGTGGCGATGTTACTGAGGAACGGTGGGTAAAGTTAAAACATAGAAAGCCAGGATGATGAGATTTGTGTTTCCGGGTTCTCAGGAATACAGCTGGCCGGTAACAGCATCGAACGGTTGCTGAAGTCCCCCTTCCAAGTATCCTGACACCTGTTTCCGAGCCTGGCCCCACCTGGCCCCCTGCCGAGGGCTCGGCCCCAGACCAGCCTGAAGGAGGTCCCATCCCATAGTCCAGGGCCTGGCCGGGACTCATGGCCGCTCAGGGCTGGGGACAGACACACCGATGCCCCGGAAGTTCTTCCCACATTTCATCACCAAACCTTCCTTCAACTGGGGGACACTTCCACCTCTTTTTTCTGGCAGAAATGTGTCCTGTGAAAACGGTTACTGAGGCCCCGTGGAGGCCGGGCTCGCAATCCTGGCTGCTGATAGATGAGAACGAAGTCGAGGTTGAGCTGTGCTCTTTCCAGCCTAGCTCCACGCCGTAAAAGCCTAACCTACCGGTTCAGTGAACACTTCACACTGGGTGAAACTCAAGTAATATTTTAAAAGCCAGAACTCAGTAAGTCAAACCTCTCTTCTTAGGAAAGTAACTTGCAGGGACATCTTTCAGTCTGAGGCTGTCCTGTCCCCAAGAACAGCTGGGTGGTGGTACACTCCACAGAGACCCTCACAGGTGTTCAATCCCTCGAAGGTGGGCCTCCGTGCTCCAGGGGCAGCAAACATTAACAGCGGCCTGTCGATAACCGCGGACTCATCTCTGCTCCAGCAGGCCTTGAAAAGCTGGTAACACGCGACAATACAAAGTCCAGGCAAAGTCCAGGGTGGCTGTAGAGGAGGTTAGCTCACCCTGGGGGGTCATCGCGGGCCTGGAGCTGATGGAGACTCTCCCGTCTAAGTCTCAGGATAAGCCTGGTGCAGGCGACATTTGCCTTTCCCGGGGGATCAAGTGGGAGGAGGAGGTTGCTGTCTGAGGTCAGTCGCACGCCAGGAAGGCTTGGGATGGGGATCCAGGGAGTCTGACCCAAGTGCACGCTCTGCCCTGCGCCGTGTGACTGGAAAACTGTAACAACGCTTCTTGGGACCAACCCGGAAGGAATGGAAGAGAGGAATTAATTCTTCCCTCCTTTGGGAAGAAGTCCCCCTGCCACCGCATTTGTGGGCACTACCTCTGCTAGCCCCCAGGGATCCCCAGGCGAAGCCAAGAAAAAGGCAACTGCAGCCTGGTGGGACGGACAGACAGCCCCGGGGCGGCTGCGTGTGGGCAGCGGGCGGCTGGCGAGCTCTCGGGGGAAGACCGTCCAGCTGCAGCTGGGAAAAGGCCTTTGAAGCCGGGCGCGCCCCTTCCGTAGCACCTACCGACTCAGGCTGGGTCCGCTCCCAGGTCAACCACACGTGGCCCACAACTGCCACCACAGATGCCCACAGGGCTATGAGGACGCTGCTCTCAGGCAACGGGATGGGGACACGGTTCCTCTGAGTCCCCCTTGGTCACTGTGCGTGACTTTGCACTCAGGCTTGAAACAGCTTGTCCCCTTCACTTTCCTTCTGCTCCCCCTCAAGTCAGCTGCTAGGAATCACTGAAGTTGTTCTTTAGATGTATTAAACAACTCCTAAATGGAAGATTGAAAAATTTTTATCAAATCAGCTTTTTCTAGGACCCTCCGCCAAAATCTATTTTCTCCTGTCAGCGACTCTCAAGAACCAACCTGGAAGACTGCTCACCTCCAGGTTAAATTTACTGCCACAAAACCTTGCCGGGACCAAGGTCGTCCCTGTCGCAAATAACCAGGGACCCAACCCTTCAGGCACAACTTAGCTCTAAAAGAGCAAAAGGAGCTATTTACAAGAACCCTCTCTCCGCGGGCTGTGCGGCTTTAGCCGTTACAGGACGGCTTGCTGTCCAGGATCCCACACAAGTCAATGCGGCAGGGCCAGCAACAATAAGCCCGAAAGACTTCTCACAAGTTACGTCTGCCCTAACGTACCTCCACAACTTGGCGCTTCTGTGAAGGGTAATGCTGTTCATGTAACTCCTACTCCTGACACAAAAACTGCCAGAAATCCTACAAATGTGCACTCTCCCCAAGTAACTGTCTCTAAAGGGTTTGGTAACAGGGCACTGGGAAGTTGTGGCACAGACCCCACAGCCCCAGGTGTCCGGTGCTGGGCGGCTGTCGGGGGCCTGGCAGCCTGCAACACGTGGCGCGCGACGTTGCCATTCGCACCGGCGCTGGGCTGTCACCGCCGTCCTTACGCCAGGAAAGTCCGATCATGCAGGTCAGACTCTGCACGCGGACACGCGACAGCATTTCCACTCTCCCACTTGGTAAAGGCTTGTTTAGCATTTGGGGGAAAAGCGCTAACTTCTGGACAGGACATTTCCACTCCTTGTAGAGCTCAGTGCGTCCTCACACTTGTAAGCTCTCCGGTGACCTACACGGCCTGTGACTCATCAGCTTCTGAGTCAACTTGGCCCTGGCGCCCTTGCCCTAATGTCCTACGGGGGTTTCTTGTACCCATGTCCCCTGCTGGTATGTGTCTCATCCTTTTGATTTTCAGACGAACCCTAGGGGTGCACAGGTAAAAGCCACAAGCAGCAGACTTACGGGAAAGCCCACACTGCACGCCCGACGCATGGGCAAGGGGCAGCTCTGCAGACGGCCGAGCGTGCTCCGCCGCTGGTGTTCACGCAGCGGCAGCATCAAGTGATTTGTCAATGGCCGTCTTTGCGAAGGACAAGGTCGCCGCCTTGGCTGGGCCGCTGAGTGGCCGCAGCACAGGCGGGGTCTTGAGCACGTGGCCCCCCTTCCAGTGGCCCCCCTTCACGTGAGACCCAGCGGCTCCGCAGGTGAGTGCCCACCTCCTGTGAGTATGTGGAACACCTGGCTCGCGGCAGATGCAGAGGGCGGTGAGGGCAGGCGGGCACAGTGAGTTCCTGCCGTGACAAACCTGCTTGGGAGAAGAGTGTGTTTCCCAGGAGCGCGAGTTCTATGGTCACCCAAGGACAGTCCCCAGTGACATGGGGGTGGAGTTTCCTCTTCCCTTTCCTTTCCTTTCTTTTGGGGACACAACCCCCGCCCCGGGGCGGGGTGGCAGCCAGTGCAGCACCTCTGGGACCACCCCGGCCTGGCCGGCCCGGCCCCGCGGGCCACGCCTTGTCTCGCAGGCTGTCTTCTCAGAGCTTTTCCTCGAGACACTCGGGTGGGCGGACTCAGAAGCAGCCTCGAGAACGGATCCAGGGGTCCGAAGGCTCCCCTCGCCAGGCCAGGCCCTCCCCAGCCCCCCACCAAGCGCCCTCCAGCTCCCGTCCCAGCCTGGAGATGGAGGCCCCTGGGAGCTTTATAAAAAGACCCTGGCAGAACCTCTGCTATGACTCCAGTTATTTGTTTTTTTTTAAATAAAGGCACTCTTTTTAAAGAAATACTCATTAGATCTCACCGGGGAGGACCGTCGATGACTCCTCCCCCTCCCCCTGACTGCGGTGAACCCGCCAGACACAGGCCTCAGGCGGGCGGGGTGCCGCCTCCCGTGGCCGCGCAGCTCGCCAGCCGCCCAGCTCCCACGCGCCCCTCACCCGCTCGGCACAGCTGGGTAGCAATTTTTGTGGCAAATTTAACAGAAGAGTGAAAATCACCCTTAATTTCTAAAACCAAAAGGTCACCGCAACTAAAAATCCTTATAGACGGCCATGCATTGAGTGTCTGTGTCCCATCAAAGTCCCTGTGCTGACACCCGGCCTCCAAGGGGTGGTGCTGGGAGGCGGGCCTTTGGGAGCTGAACAGGCGGTGAGGGCAGAGCCCGCGTGAACGGGACCAGCACCCTAAGGCAAGGGACCCCCGAGAGCTTCCTGGCGAGGACTCAGGGAGAAGACGGCCGTCTACGAAGCAGGCGCAGGTTCTCACCGCACACTGCGTCTGCCGGAGCCTCGATCTCGGGCTTCCAGCCTCCGGACCTGTGGGAAACAACTGCCCGCTGCCTGTCGGCCACCCAGTGTGTGCTCTTCTGCTGTAGCAGCAGGAAAGACTACAAACCGACTTACTGTTGTTCAGAATTAACGACTCGACGCGCTCTATCCCTGGCCGTTTATTTTAAAAAACGACACCCCAGTTATCATGTTCTCTTCCTTGCCCATCAATTTTTCTTAACAGAACAAGTTACAAAAATTTGGGGGGACATGTGATCTTCCGAGACTGACACATTGGCAGAGGACTCACGAGTGATAATCATGATTCAAAACCTCCTAGTTTTACTCCTGAGTCAGGCAAAGAGCAAATCACTATATGAGAACAAATTCTGTTTACATCAAGATGATAACACGACCTTGAATTATTACAGCGCAGCGGTTATAATTAAATTCACGACAGCATCTTCCTAGCCCCGAACATCAGACACACTAAAATCTCCCGACTGCTCACACCCTGGAGGAGTCCGAGCAGCGCCTGAGCAGGGAAAGCCGGCTCGGTGAGGCCTCTCCGCAGCGGCCAGGGTGCGACCCCCGCGGCTCCCTCTCCCACGGCGCGGCCTCTGTGCGGGGGACCCGCCGCCTCACTTCGAGTCCTGGTCTTTCGTTTCGTCTAAAAGGGCGGAGCGGATCCCCAGCTTTTTCAGTTCTTCCACCAGGTCCCCGTTCTGGTGCATCTGCAGGAGAATGTCGCAGCCGCCCACAAACTCGCCGTTGAGGTACACCTGCGGGATGGTTGGCCAGTTGGAATAGTCTTTAATGCCTACGGGGAAAGCACACGTGAGTGTCATTGACATGGTCGCGCTGCACTTCCGCGACGACACTTGGCCCCCAGCGATGCCCCGTGTTCCCTCCTGGCTCCCCCCAGGCTTGGGCGACCAGCTGCTCACGACAAAGGCCCTCGGCCTGAGAGCCATGTGGGCGCGGTTTAAACCCTAACTCTCCCGTGACAAACGGGGAGACCTCAGACAAGCCCCGACCTCACCGCGCGCCCGTTTCCACCCTCACCCCAGGGGGGCGATGGGAATCAGGAGGGTAAGGCGCTCTCGCAGACTGCCTAGCACACGGTCCACACGGGTGTGACCTACGGCAGAGAGCGCAGTCGGTCACCGGACGACACGCAGGACGCCCAGAGCCATGTTCTCGACGCTCCTGCCAGGCCTGTTTTCAGTAAAACAAACCCGAGAAGAAATTCCACAACGGCATTGCCAAGGGGATTACTTCACACGGAACCACCAGGATGACACTGCCACCTGAGGCTGTCCCCACCCAGTGCCTGCCTGGGTCAGCGACTGTCACCGTACTTATGCTCACCACGTTAGTCACTGGTTTCATCTTTAACATTTCTTTGACCCAGAGGAAAATCCCTTTCCATGGCTTCCGACTGGAGCCTCATCTTGTTCGGCCCCTGGGAGGGGCAGGCCACGGCGCAGGTGACCTGGCTCGGCCTGGAGCTCACAGGGACTGCGTCCGTGGGGAGAAGGCCCAGTGCGGGCCGGGGCCCACGTCGTGGTCCAGGACAGGCCCCCTGGCGAGGGAGCCCCACCCCCTGCTCTCAAGCACTCACAGCGGACAAGAGCCCGGCCGGCACCCTGTGATCAGGGGACACAGGGTAGCCACAGGGCGGCCACGCGGCGGTTCTGAGCCTCGGGGATGACGGCCACAACAACGCGGAGAGATGGAAATGTGGCGCAGTCCTGAGGCATTAATTAAATCGCTCTTCTCTAATGTTCGCACTCACCACTCTACTCCTATGTTGAGAGGAGCCATCCTTTTGAAACACATCCAGCCAATAAACATTACATTCGTGTTGGTTACATTAAAACAGAGGACGGTCAAAATCATGACTTACAATAACTAATCACTATGGAGTATATGTGATTTCATACTTACACAGAGAGATGGTTATTTTAAAATAGTCAAAGCAAACATGAAATAAAAGAGTCAACAGATTCTGCAAACAAAATACAGTATTACACAAATTAAAAAACTTGTCTAGTGGTGGTTTTTATGTAAACAAACTAAAAATACAAGAACTGGTTCTTGAATCCCTATCATTTACCCTATCATTTATTATCAAACATTTAGTTTCCAAATAAAATGACCAATTTGAGTTGACCAAATGACCAAAGAGCCATTCAAGATACGTGTTTTCCTCATTTAAAAGTTATGGTTTCCTTTAAAAAAAAAAGGCCACTTTGCACTACAGGGCAGCGCTGGAGAAGGCGCAGGGCGGGGGCCTGAGCGCTTATCTCCCCTCCACAGGCCTCACGCGGGAAGACGCCACCGCACCGTCCCAGGCCCCGTAAAGCGCATTTCTTCTTTTTCTGGACCCTTTTTTTACTGGGGTATAACTGACATGGTGTTATTTTAGTTTCAGGTGTACAACATGCTTTTGGCATACACTGCAAAATGGTCCCCACGATACGTCTACAGTTACAAAATTGAAGCACCAGGATGTTTTCATGGTACCAAGTATCTAAATGCACTCGAAGACCCTGAGGAATTCAGGTTTTTCAACATTCCAACGTTTGCTGTCACATGATGACTCAGCATATGGGAGTGGGGGTGGGTGTGTGTGTGTGTGTGTGTGTGTGTGTGTGTGTGTGGACTCTACCTTCAAATATGGTCTCTCAGAACTTACTTTACAATGATGCCAGTTACACATCTTTCTTTACTTGTAGAATGACTGACGGTGTGGGAATTAAGAAATATTTAAAGTAAATATGAACTTCTTTTAATTCTTCTAAACTTTCTTAAATATCTTTCACATGTCTGTATGTGAACATTTACATGCGTAATATCATATCTGGGTTTTTTCCAATTAATAATATGTTGTATTGAGCTTTCCATGATAATAAATACCTACTGATTCTTTTGGAGAGTGCCTACAATTTTTGAAACACACAAAAAATGAAAATCAATTTGTCATCTGAGGGCCACCCAAACCCACACATTTAATCCTGAAATAAACCGCTTGCTGAGTAACAGACGGATGTGCTTTCGTCGATCGTTTTTAAGGTACCACACTCAACCGAAGCATTAGGCTTGTCCCGTTCATTAAACCTGACGTCGCAGACCTCGCGTCCGACCCCAAGGGAAGAGGAGGACCTGCCACCAGGATCAGTCCTTCCCGTCGGAACCGCCAAAGCCAGCGGGCTTTCCGACCGCCCTGAGCGCCCGACACAGAGGCCCGTGCGCGGGGGCCGACTGCCTCCAAGCCCCTGTGACAGCTGCCAGGGCCACAGAGCCTACTAGCTGATAGCTTATCAAAATTCAACTTCCCCGCTCCTTTAGTTTTTAGATTAACAAGGGTTACAAGCAGCTGATGTCAAGGCAAAGCTTTGGCACCTTTCTTTAAAAACATGCTATATTCCGTTTTCGAAAAGTCTGATTTGGGTTTAAATATTTAAGGAAATATCCAACGGATTCCTATAGAGCAGCAATTTTCAGCCTTCTTCGTCTCGCAGCACATGAACTGCTCACTAAAACTCTGCCGCACGCTAAAATATGTGATACTTTTTTGCCAATCTGACCCCCCCCCCCCCGAAAGTACAGTTTCGACTCATCCTCACCAGATGGCCACTGTTGGGTCGGCTGTCGCCATTTTTTTATTTCACAATCTAAAGGAAGAGCGGTCAGTGGCCTGGACTCAACAGTCCGGTAGTGCGTGTTTCAACAATCCTTGCAGCACACGGGGTGGGAATCGCTGCTATAGAGTGAACTGAGAAACTTCCAATACTGAAAGACCACTGTTCATGAGTTGAAAATTAAAACAAGCCCCAGGGATTCACAATTAATTATTTAAATGTGGCTAATTTCTCTCACATTTCAATTTTCAAAAACTGCCCTTGGAATTACTCAGAATCAGAAACTCTTGAAAATTTGAAAATGATATCCAAGGATGGACTGGAATGACAATCATCATATTTTTGAGATAATAGTGGTTCCATCTAAGACAGAAAATGTTGACTGCAAAGTTATATTCAACAGGGTAACGCTAGGAATCGGAAGTTAGGAGGTTGTCTTACATACACCTACTGCTCCACCCAAAATCTAATATTCCAAGTATCAAGACAGTGGAGAAAATGTTCTGGAAAATTCTCTCCCAGAACTTTCAAAAGGTACTTTTCAAAATCTATCACATTTCAGAACATTATTCTTTGTTCCTGGGTTGGACAAGACATTCTAAGAGCACCATAATCCTAGCCCTCTTTTTTTCCTGGTAGATTTTCACAACAGGAGCTCCAGGGTCGGATGCAGATTAATTCCAACTCAGCCACTACAAGGCGCAGTGACCTTGGGCAACTCACGTCACCTCCAACTGGCGTCCCCTATTTCTTCATCTCCCTGCCTCAGAGAAGGGCGCTCGGACACAAGGAGATACTGTGAGCTGAAAGCAGGGAGAGCGGCGGACCCCCAGGAGCGGGACATCAGAGCACAGAGGCAACGTGGACATGACGTCGGCCCAAAGGTCAGCAGACGGTACCACAGCCTCAGCTACACCTGCTGCTCTCTTGGCCTCAGTCTCCTCATCTATAAAATGGGGATAACTCCATGCCGCACAGATTTATTACGAAGATGAAATGAGATATAACTGGTGAAATGAATTAAACCCCCTCAGGGCCAGGGACAATGTGGATATTCTACTTTCTCCTTGTTGATGTCCTCTACCCCACCCTTCCCAGTAACGCTTCTCTGAGAGATACATGCAACAGGGAAAGTTTAGGGAGAGAATGGAGGAAAATACCAATTAGAGATGCCACTCAGTATAAAAAGACCTAAAGGTTACAGAGTTTCATCCTCTTTAAGTGTTTTACATGCCTAAGCTCATTTAATCTTTACAAAAATCCTACAAGGTAAGTTATTAGCATCTGTACTTTACAGATAAAGAAACAAAGGCTTAGAGAGATTAAGTAAAAAAGACAGCACATGCTGGAGCCAGGATTTACCCCCAGGTTTCCAAAGGCCCAAAGGCCAGGGTCTTGACCACCAGATGCCGCCTCTGGCCTGTGACTGGCCTCTGTCACTCCTGCCCATGAGCTACACTTGCACACATGTATCTGCAATATATGGGACAACTTGTCATCTTTAACATTTATATACACAAATGGCATTATGCCATACTTACCTTTTTGCAGCTTGCTTTGTAACTACACATTGCATCTTTGAAATTTAGTCACGTAAGGACACTTTACTCACTAAAGTGAGTCTCAACTCACTTGAATCACAATTTAGTTTATCCAGTCTGCTACTAAATAGACCAAGAGTCCCTCTTGCTAATTTTTCAGTATTACAAACAACGCTGCAAAGAACATCCTTACATGTCTCCTAACTCACATGCAGGGGTCTGTCTGCCTAGACCACGGGGTGACACACCGTGGCCTCTGGGACAAATCTGGTCCACTTCTTGTTTTTGTAAGTGAAGTCTGATTGGAACTTAGTCACTCTTATTCATTTGTATGTTACCCCTGACTGCTCATAGGCTATAGCCGAGTTGAACTGTTGCAACAGAGACTGCATGTCCATGAAGACTAAAATATTTACTCTCGTCCTTTACAAAGGAAGTTTGTCAACGCCTGCTCTGGACTATATACACAGGAGTGAAGCAGCTGGGTCTTCAGCTCTGTTCACCTTCAACCCAACTAGGTACTGATAGCATAGGAATAACTGTCAGTATACTTGTATTCCTCCAGAGTGATGGAAACTATTTTATACTCCCATCTTCAGCGTATGACACATCCGCCACACAAACACACCCAGACAACTTGTCATCCAAATTTAAAATTTGCCAATGTCATAGGTTTTTCACCACTGCCTTAAATTCCTCCATACTGAAAAGGCTGAACAAATTTTCAACGGCTTAATAGACACTCAACAATAGAGTAATGATTATTCACTCAAAAGACACTGCTCCCAAACCAAGAAATACAATGGTGATCTGAATAGGCAGGAATTTAAGAGTGTTCTTAATGTTTTTAAGAGCATGGAAGAGAGTTTATGATACGATAAACAACAGAAGCATTTACTTGTTCATTAAAACACTCACTGGAAGCTTCCTCTGGATAAGAAATATAAGCGGCACCCAGGCAGTGGCCTGAGAATTGCTCACTGCTCTTAAGGGAGCAAAAAGTATATGTAAACATGCACGATGTCGGCTGTGTTTTTAACAGCAACAACTGTTAGATCCAAAAGTTGGCCCCAGAAGGATTCCAACCCAAAGCTTTTCCACGACACCCGTCTGTCTCATCGATGAAAGAATGACTATGATTGGTCATTTCAAATGCAGGATAACATCCATGAACACCAGATAACAAAATGTGGAATTCTATGTGTAAAGTAACAGAACCTGGTGCTTTAAGACTAGTTTTTCGAACACTTGTAACTTAACAGCACTGGGCTCAGGGAGATGCCAGGGCTCAGTGATTACAAGTGTCTAACTGGAACGCAGGGTCCCTAAGTCATCCTCCAGAAGCTACAGGCACAACCTCCCCATTTCACCACCAACGCTGACCAACCTTAGCCAGGAAGCAGACCAGCACCAAAGGTCCGCAGCCCTGTGCTCAGCAGGAAAGATGCTAATTGGCAGTTAGGGCCTCCCTCCACTGCCGTAGGCTGGTGAAAAGCCACAGGTCCTGCCTGGCCCCTGGCTTCATGGTCAGTCCCCGTCCCTCTCCCGACCACCCCTCCAAGCCCTGGCTCCACGAATTCTCCCCTGCCCCGATTTCATGCCTTTTTCTCCTACACCACCAGATTCCAACTCAGATCAACGACAAAGTTCGGTCCCTGATACCTTGCGCCGCGAAGTTCGAGAGGCCAACCTTTGACCTCACAAGCCTCAGACCACGGCAACCTCGGCCCCACCGTCCACAGCACCAGCTGTTTATCCATCCGCAAAACAGGCCAACACCCTCAAAGTATGCCCAAAGGTGCGTACCTCCTAGGTTCTTGCTATATTCCCCTTCACCCCACTTGCCCAGTCCCGCAAAGCGGGGAGGGAGGCTGCTAACCACTCTCTTCGGACGCAGCCCTAGAGAACTCGCCCCAAAACGCCTGTTCAGCTCCGCGAGAGGATCGGTGCGCCGCAAGGACTTAGCCCACTGCCCCAATCGACAACAGTACCGGAGCCCCAAGTCCTCAGACTCTGTTCACGTCAATCACGTCCCCACCCTAGACTCTCTAATACAGCAGTACCCCGCGCCCTAACCCCGCGCAAATCCCAGACAGACCCCGGCCCCGCGGAGGGGCCGGGGCCTGTCGTCCCCTCCCCGCACTGGGCGGGCCCTGACCTTGCCGGAGCTGGGGGTCGTCCAGCACGTTGTAGGCCGCGTAGTCCCGCACACCGTGCAGCCGCAGGATCTGCACCACCGCGTTGCTGAAGCCGCACTGGGGCTGCTCCGGTGTGCCCTTGAGAAAGACCACCACCTTGTCCTTCTTCACCAGCGCGTCCAGCTGCTCGGGCGAGGCGCCGCCCGCTCCCGATCCCGCCGTCCGCACGCCCGGGCCCCCCAGGCCGCTGCTGCCCGCGCCACGCCCCCAGCGGAGCAGAGCCGCCGCCGCCCTGCCCAGGGACCCACTCATCCCGCACGCTCGCCGCAACCCTCTACCGCCCGGGACCTCAGCTCGCCCCCAAGTTCCTTTCCCCGCCCACAGCGGCCCGGCCAGCCCCCCCGAGGTCCTCATTGGGCCGGCTCCAACCTGCTCTTCAAGATTGGAGGAGGCTGACCGGCAAGTCCTCGAGTTTACCAATCACATCACTCGCCCTGCCCCGACAGGTTAAAGGTGGTCCTCACGCCTAAGCCGCATCCTGCAGCCTTACCATTGGCCCTCGGTAACCGCTTTGTTAGTTGATTGGAGAAAATGGCTGCCCATCAGGGTCACGCTCCGCGGCCAGGAGAGGAGGAACGCGGGAGAAGACGACTTACCTAGGTAGGGTAGGCGGGGCCTCCGGGACAGTACCGATGGCTGGGAAAGGCACTGGGCGGGGTTTCGCCATTCCGCGGAATGCTGGGAAGGGGTCACCTCCAGATGAAGGTTCCGGTTCCGGTACAGGCGGTGGTTGGGTTGCCATGGCAACGCTGTTTGAGGGCCCTGGCTTCTGTGTTAAGAATGGTAACAGGGCTGGAGAAGGCCTGGGTGCGTCTTTCCCAGGTTAGGTGAGCGATTCCGGTGCCTCGCTAAGTCCGCGGCCGAATGCGGCCGTTCGTAGCGGAAGCCGGACCAGGCACTGGCGAACAAGCCTGCCCTGGGCTACGTCATCTGACCCTGGACCACGTGTCCCGGCCATACCTAGGTGGCGGGCTGCTCACGTGGGAGCGGAAGTCTGTGCCCGGCTCCTAACCCCGGCCTCTAGCTCGCAATTATTTCTCTAAAACAGCTTTTATTTTTAAATCTTGTAAAGCGAGTGATCCCATTTGGGTTTGGGAGTGTTGACTTTCCACCCTACTTTAGTCCTCGGACCTGGCCCTGGGAAAGGTTTGTTGAGTGGGAAACTAAGTTGGGAATTGGTTTGTTCAACACAAGTTTTGCGAGCAGGTGCTGCGTGCTCCGCACGGAGCCTGCGCGAGATCTACAGAACGACATGGTGCCCAAATTTTGTAGTCACTGTGAAAAATGAGAAGCAGGTACAAACTAATGCGGGGGTGCAGAGTACAGAAAAGAAGGCCCATAGCTTTCTCTCGTCTCTATTGTAGTTTTACATCTTGATATATACTTACTAGGTGTTTACTGATTTCGCTCCCAGGCATTCGATTTAATTCACTGTGCCTGGAGCGTGGCAGGTGCTCATGTTGGTGGAATGAAGGGTTCTGGAAGAGTGGGACTTGGTGAGAACGCCTCGTGATCTGTAGTCTGGAGCCGCACTGGGTTGGTGGTACCCTAGAGCACACCAGACTTGCAGAAAGAGCATACTCCAGAGGAAGCTGAGGCATGACTGCTCGAGAGCCAGCCGTTCCATGTGCAATTTTCCTCTGATAGTTCTTGGGTACTGTTGCCACGGTGATAATGACTTTCCATGTCATTATCTATCCATCAACAGTAAGAGAAGCTTTGCAGTCAAGATATTGTTTAACAGATGGAGTGGTTTCTGTTGGACACTAAGTACTGCTACAAATTTTTTTAATTAAAAAAATTTTTTCTTAAGTATTTTAAAAATTGTTGAGTATTTAAAAAATTTTTAAGTATTTTACAAATTACTTCTAGGGATGACCTATTTATGCTTTGGAGGTGCCTGAATTTAAAATCAGAAAACTAGTGCATGTGCTGTCAGCAAATGAATCTTCAGAATAATCCTTCAGCATGAAACTTGAGCCTAGTAAACTGAAAATGAATCAAGACATTACCCAGAAGTACTCCTCAGTGACATATTTCATCCCATTGATGTTTGGTACTTTTCTAATGTGGGACCCAGCACTGATTAGTTTCTTAAAAAAATCTTTTTCCCACACAGATTTGTTGAATTCATTCCAGGTAAATCAGAGAACAAGCATCGGGAACAGAAATATGAGGTTGGTCTGGAAAAAGTCCAGCCATTGTTAATATAACCAGAACAGTTTGCATGACATTGATGTAACGTGTCACATCAGTGAGTGACAGCCAAAGAGAGTGGCCTAAAATGCGCATGTGTGAACAATGATGACCTCACTGTACTAGTCAGTGGGAGTGGTCGACACGCTAGTCATTGTTGAGTGGGCATGTGCACTGTGTGGCCGTCACATTCAAAATGACTGAGCGAGTAGAGCAATGAATCCGCATCAGATTTTGCGTTAAGCTTGAACAGTCCTCTGCGGAAAATATTCGGATGTTTCAGCAGGCTTTCGGGGCGATGCAATGAGTGCAGCACAAATAAAAGTGTGGCACAAATGCTTCAAAGATGGTGAAGAATCTGATGAAAGTGGTCCACTTTCTGGAAGGCTTGCAACAGGCAGAGCACCCAAGAATAGTGAACATGTATGGACAGCAATCAACAATCAACGAAGATGGCGACCCAGGTGATTCATCCCCCCTACAGCCCAGATGGGGTGCCAGGCAACTCCTGGCTTTTCCCAAAACTAAAATCACCTTTGAAAGGGAAGAGATTTCAGACTGTCAATGAGAGAGAGTCAGGAAAATGTAACAGGCAGCTGATGGCAGTTCCAACAAAGGATTTTGCAGTGTTTTGAGCGGTGGGAGAGAGACTGGGAGAACTATGTGAAACCCCAAGTGCCTACTGTGAAGGGAACTGAGGTGTCATTGTCCTGTGTACAATGTTTCTTGTATCTTTGTCAATAAATGTCTTGTTTTCATAGTACGTGGCCGGATATTTTCTGGACAGACCTCATTGTGTATAGGAAATGCTGTGATGCTGAAGTAGAACTATTGTTTCAGAAGTCCAGCATGTGGTGCAACAGTAGAAAATACATGATTTCCAAAATCACCTTTCACTCATAGTAAGTTGGTTTTCTTAAAATAAATACTGGCTATTTGTTCCTGAAATTGTAAAGTGTTTATTGCCTACTCAGCTGTCTCTGTCAACTTTTGTGTTGAGTGGAAGAGGGAAAATAATTTGCAGACTAGTGTTTTAAGGATCCGGAGGTGTGGAGCAGTAATGATATCCCTTATACAGTGTGTAATATTGACTTCAGAAGTGTAGTTGTCTTTTTCTGCTTTTATTGCTTTCAGAATACAGCTGTCCTTAAAGATTCAGAGTAACCCTTGAGCAGGAGGAATACAGAGCCTGTGTTTCTCCACCATATTAAGAAGAGTGGCTGCGCACAGTAGGGGGAATGATAGCATACGGGAAAGGGAGGCCATGGGAAGGCATGTCCTTCAGGGAGCCAAGGGGGTCGCTTTGGTGGTGTGGTCAAGGGCAGGAAAACAAATCACATATCTGAACCAAAGGAACTGGAACAATACACCCAATTTAAGTGTTTAATACTGGAAGCAAAAATATAAAATGTATATGTTGAACATACTCATTTCTGTCTTTGCTTGAAAACCACTCTTGGAGTATTGGCACCAAACATTAGTGATTTAAAGAAGTAGGAAAAAGAGCATTCGAAATATTTCTTCCAAAGCATCAAACTCTTATATATGATCTAGCATTTTAGGTTTGAGGTTTCTCTTTAGAGATTCTATAATGAAGACATGTCACAAATATACTCTTTAAGTAAACAGTTGTCAGAGATCTGCACATATGCTCAAATACAATTGGGTGTTTTGAACACAGAAGTCAATAATCATTAATTTGTGATCTCTTCCATGTGGACAGTAATGGGGAAGTGAGGGTGGGAAGTACACAGAAACTTAGGAGAATCCTGGCATTTTGGTCACAAGTTATAATTAGACTCCAAACTAAATAATCAAGGCATGTAAACATGCTGACTCAGGCATCCTAAAAATGTTTTTCTTCTCTGCACTTATTTATAGATAAGGCTCGACTATACTTCGTACAATTCTTTTCTCCACCCACTTCTCCAAAAGCAAATTCACATTGAACCATAGTTAAAAACCTTACAAATTTGAGATCGTGTCTTCCTCAGATAAGCCCTAAATGATTATCAGCTTAAGATGATGCTTCACTTCAACCCTCAGTGTCAGTGTTTCTGCGCCCTGACTTCAGCGTCGGAATTGCTGCATTCTGACAAAGAGCATGTGTTTCTGTGCATAGGACATGCGGTACAGAAGTTGCTAGGTCCAAGCAGGTCAGAGTGTTCTGTCATTTTAAGAGAAAAGTGGCTGCCTTGGTTGCCCACGGGGTTGAGGCAGCAAACATGGCTGAGCTAAAATAGCATTTGTGAAGCAGAGTTGCAGCTGGAACCTGAAACCTCTGGTGCACTTAGCTACTGTCCAGTAAGTTTTGAGCCTCTTTGCAACCCCAACATTAACTCGATGCCCCGCTGCCTGAAGATTAACATAATGTGTGAGGAACCAGGGCATTGCCAGGCCCTCCGAGAGAATCTTTGCTAATCCCCGATGCCAAGGAGAAAGGCCTTTTGGACTTTGACTTCCTCTATCTGACAAAGACAGCTGTTTTTATGAATACTCTTCTGAGCAGGGTGCGGCCTCGGCTGTGCCCGCCGCTGTTTGCCACACCAGGGGCCGGAAGGAGGGCCTCCTGAGTCCCGTGCTCCTCTGGGTCAAGGCAAGAGGAATGGGGTGCTGTGAACTGGGGGAGCTCAGGCGGGAGCCAGCCGCAGGGGATGCAGGTACAAACGGGCTCTGCGAAGGAGCATTGATGGGAAGCCTGGAGGCCGCCCAGAGCCTGGCCCGCGCTGGGGCCTGAACGGCAGGTGTGTGCTGTGAGCCCCAGGTCGCGGTCCTCGGCAATCCCATACCTTTAGTTCTTTTTGATTCCCTGTAGGCTTTTCCGCCCCTCCTGCCTTCTTCCTGGATCTGTGAAAAATGCCCGGTATCTGCAAACAGTTACTATTTTCCAAGATGTCATTATGTGAGGACAACAGAGGGTCGAGGAACCGATCTGTGTTCTTCCTCTGCTCCTAAACATTCACCCCTGAAATAACAGTGTCTCGCACGTGTACCACACTGTCCTGTTCTTCAGACGGGCTTTTCATCCGGACCTTACCCGTAGCCTTAGGATACTGGTTCTTGGACATTTTGGTCCCCAAATTAGGTTCT